TTGATTTCAGCCCTTGTGAAAGACCCAGAGTGTGATATCAATGATGTCCTTCCACGACGTAAGGCACCATTGTCTCCGAGAACAACTACAATCTTCACACCCTTTACAACTGTCACTGTTACTGAAACCAACCACTCTACAACATCTACAACACCTTCATCCAAGTCTTTTCTTCATCCTATTTCTGCTGTTCCTATCATTACATCTATACCAAAGCCAAAGCCTTCAAATCACCCTTACTCTGCCCCTATAAGTATTCCTTCAACTAGGACTGTTGTACCTGGTGCCCCGACTACAACCATTAGCAGTAAAGGTACCCGAGYTATATCAAAGACAAGTGTATCCTCGGCATCACATATCCCTAGCTCAGCTAAATGGGGCTCGACTGTACAGGTGCCTCATCGTAAGAAAGTTTCTCCAGGGCGAGTTCCATCTTCTCATGGTGTTTCTGATGTGACATCAAAGGTAATGCCAATCACCACACCGGTRTCAGCAACAAAGAAGGTTTCTGGGAGCACTACAGTTGTCACCATGACTACAACAATGGCAGTAACAACCTCGRCAACCAARAATGACACAAGAGTAACACCTGCAAAGCGTCAGTTGTTTCCAGAAAAACTTTCTAAGGTTCCTACTAACACTACCCCTATAGGCAAACCTCAGAGAGTTCCCAAAGGGCCACTGAGCTATTGTTCTGTTGCTATGGGAGCTACCAGTGCAAGAGCCCCAGGRACATCTCCAGGTCAGCTGGTTAATGGACCTCATACATCACCAACTGTAACCATGTCATCAGATTCTCTAACAGTCCAATCACAGGGTTCRCCACTRCCTGCGGCAATTAGTAATTTCCTGTCTCACGTTGGTCAAACACTTGGTCCCAGTCTATGGCAAGACATCTCACATCCCAGTAACAGACCAACAACTGGAGTGAACCCAAGCCAGGACCTTACCCAGGAACCAGCACCRGCAGAGCCRATAACGCAACCTGTCTATATAACGACCCCAGGGGCCTTATTCACTCCTTTGAATCAAGACCCTAATTCCTCTTCACCTCCAAGCACCACAGCTTCTCCAGTACCAACAACAACATCATCAGCATCAAACTCCCCCACCATCTCCCCCATAGGTAGTTCATTGGCTCCAGGAAGTAACGTCATTGGTAGCGATGCAGGGGACAAGCCTAACCTGAGACCAATAGGGACAGAAAGGGCATGTCGTCGAGCYACTGCAAGYCCTTTACCACCTATGTCTGGGATTGCACCACTTATTGGAGGTATAAGAAACTTAAAATTAATAAGCATTTTATTTAGGTTTATTAGTGTTTATTAAACTGCATAATAATATAATTTGATAAGATCCTTAAACAAAAATCTAGCCTTTTCTGACTTATAGTTGATTTTAATCTTGCAGATGGAGTACAACAACATGGCGTCTGGAGCTATTCATTTCCATCAGGTTTGTATTTCAACTTTTACATCCATTATTATAGATATTCTTGTGGATAGGTCTCAATACAGAGAAAGCCTTTACCATATACACATAATTCCTCTTTTATTGTAAAAATTTCAAAAGAATAAATTTGACGTCAAGTGCGGAGAACACAATACCATGGGACTTATTAAAAGGGTGTATATCCAAACTTTGTATCAAAAGTGTTATAACGTGTGTTGATAAAGGTGTTTGTGCTACAAACCATTTTCTTATGTTATAATTTTGGAAATTTCAGATCCATCAGTTCCATCAGGATGGTCCACTGATCCAGTTCCACAAGTTCCACAGCCCTCTTCGTCACAAATGGTCAGTGGAACAGACTCTACAAGTCAAAGTACTGAAGAACAAATAGGTGTTGCTCCTGGAGATACGTTACAAAGTTTGCTTGAACGTCTATCACTGTCAAGTCACCTAAGTCTCTTTCAGGTGTGAAACATACATGTACTTCATTATGCTTTTTCATTCATTTTAGCATTTTAAGCTTCCTTTTTATTGACGTTTAACTTTAACTATGGTTGATTTGTTACTTCAATCAATATAATATTGATCAACTTTTGTCTTTCCTTACACAGAAAAATGAAATTGATTTAGATGCTTTACTATTGATGTCGGAAAAGGACTACTCTGACATAGGTCTACCAAAAGTAAGAAACATACTTTGAAAAAAATATATATTTAGATGATATTATTGATCTGACAGTAAACTACAATGGCAATTTTTTCCTTATGTAAAATAATAACTATGTTTAAAATAGTTTTCTAACTGTTGTTG